TCATGAAACGTTGAAAAAGTTTAAGTTTCAAAAGAAGAAAAGCAAAGAAAACATTTTATTGAAAAGAACTTGGTCACAAATGGCTCGTGGCTTTTCCGAACAAAAGAAAACAAAGTCTATTTAATTCTTAAGAATCATCATCGACATGAAAAATAAGAAAAGACACTCCAAAATGAGATTAAAGTTGTAGCATGCTTTTTTAAGAACTATACTTCGCTAAGGCTTAGAATGAGAACATAATCGAAACAAGAAGAAACTAGATGGTCATATTTCCATTTTTAACTTAGAAACAACTCGAAAAGATTCACAATATCCTTTTACCAAGACATATCATGCAACTAAATTAAAAAAAAAAAACAATATAACCAAGCATAAGAAAAATAATGAAACTTTCCTCAAAATGATGGTTGCACAGGAGGTTGCATATAGCAAGCTCTCCAAGCGATTTGACTAGCCAACCTCCTTACATCTTCAAACACTACTTCCCATTCCTTAAATGTATACCTCTGAAAATTATCCTCCCTACTTCTCTTCACCGTTCCACTAGATAAATCTACTAAACCGGCCTGTTTTCTCGAATTTTCAACCGCTGTCACAGAGGGAGGCAGACGCCTTGCCTAAATGTCTGCATTCAAACTCTCACCAACTTCTATGCTACGCACCCCTGAACTTCCCTCTTTATGTTCCCCTGTTGATTCTCTTGTCGGTGCCCCAATTCATCAAAATGTACATTGCCTTCTTTGCTTGGGATATCCTTTCCTTTATTTTCAGCATTCACATGATCTTTCTTATGTACTAAAGGTTATAAAGAAAGATGTGGGTTACTAAGGGCACTATAAGGGGGAGCCATAGGGATGAACTTTTCGATGGGTAAAGGTCGGGTGTTAGATGTAGTAGTGGGTATTAAAGGAGGCTCAAGAGGTCTCAATGACATTCCAAAACTCTGAACTTGTGAAAACGTAGGACCCGGTTGATACCCACTCATCGGCATCCCTCCTAAAAACATAAATTGAGATGAAGGGGGAGGGGTACTAACTATAGGTGAGGGAACTTGGGCATAATTAAACAAATTTCGGCCTAATCTAAGTAAATGTTGCGGCTGGACAGCATGATTTTGGAGGGGAAATTTTTTATTTTGATGATAAATAGGCTGAAGACCTATCGGGAAAGTTGGGTAGTTGGAAGAATGTGAACTGTAGCAAACTGGGAGGAAACAAATGATACATACCAGAAAAATTATTCCCGAATTGCTGCTGAAAACTGGCTGGAAGAGGGTCAAAACGCTGCTAAAATGCTCCCAAAGTTGGTGGGTTTTGAGCCCAGACCAATGACCCATCATATTGGTTGTGTATCGAGGCTTGTGGCACTGTCGGGTTAGCAATAAACGGCCGGAAACCCCAGTCACTACTGCTGGTCGAAAAATGTGGGCGATGGGAGTTTGAACATTCAAATTTTGGGAGCTTGAGGGATGATAACTTATGGGTATTATGGTAGATGAAGAGGGGAATGCAGTGTTTTGAGAAGATGAAGTCATGGATGATGAAGAAGACTCATATGAGAAGATGGAGAAATTTATTTATTTATTATTATTTTTTTCAACAACCGTAAAAACGGAAAGGGGAAGAGAAGAGGGGGGCTGTTTTGCGTGAAAGGGAAGAAGAATAAGGTAATGATGTGTCCCTTTTTGTTTTAAATTAGGGTTTAAGATTTTAATTTAATTAAACAAAAACCCATTTTGGAAAACGAAACAACAAAATTAAAAAAAAAAAAAACTTCTCTTTATTTTAAATAAAGCCAAAAACACATATACTCTTTATTTCTATTTTTTTTAAACCTCCTAAATTTGATTAAAAAAAATTATCGCACCCCTTTATTTCAAGTCAAAACTAACTCCCAAAATTAAAATCAAAATTTTTCGAATTTTTAAAACGGGCCGAGGTGGCAAGCGCCTTTAAAAAAATTTCAATTTTTCACAATTTCGCCCGAACAACTTGTTAAAACCTTAATCTTAGCCAAAGTAACCTATCTACAATTGAAAATAGTTTTATTTTTGAAATTTAAAACAAAAGAAAACTAACTTAAATAACATAAACTAACTTTGGATAAGGAAAAAAAAGAAAAACTAAAACCTAACAATCTACCTGACAAAGCAATTACGAAGTATAAGAAAAATATACGTAGGGATAAGAAAACTCCCTTATGGTGCAAGCTCAAATTTCGTCTGCAAGGTGGTATTTGGTCTTGTTATTCTCCTGACAATCTCATATGCTTTTAAGACTGCTACTCAAATGATTTTTTCCTACTAAATCATGGGAAAATGTTTGGTTCTTAGTAGTCTTAAACTCTCTTGGTGATCCAATTGATTTATCACCTATAATGGATCTATAGTTGAACATTTAGCCTGAGAATCCAGCCAAGGTGTCAGGCGGCTCTCCTTGCACTTGTGCCTTTCTTTATGGTTTTCTTGAAAAATTGATCTTGCACTATGAAAATGCACATATTAAAAAGTTCAGAAAAATAAAAGACTGGAATTTAAACGAGCAGTAAACTAAAACTTCCCTCCTCTAGATTTAACTTTAAAGAACTTTTGGAGGCTTCAGACTTTCAACTCATTTCCTCGAGCTCATTCAATCTTCTTTCAGCTACAACCATGTCATAGTTTCTCCTCTTTAAAGCCCAATATGCTTCATGGTTCAGCTCGAGAGGTAGGTTTGATACTTTTCTACAATTGCTTTTGGGAATTGAGACTTCAGTTTCAACATAAAATCCTTCATTTGCATATGTCTCATCCTCTTTTGTTTCTTTATTTTCTTCATCTATGAGATGTATGGTGAATTCCCCATTTTGTATGTCTTGAGAAAACTTTTGAGGGAAAGGAGAGTGGTCCCATATCTATAAGTAAGTGAAAAGAATTTTGAGGGAAATGAGAGAGTGATCCCATAGTTGCAAGTGGTGTATTTGAGCCTACTACAATCTCATCATTTGAACTTATCCCATTCTCTTTCTTTTCTAATCCATTTTCTTCATTCTGGAGATGAATGTTCAACACTCCCTTATGTATATCTTGATTTTCTTCTAAAAAACGTTGAGGGAATGGATAGAGTGGATCTAAATTTACGAGCATTGGATTTCAGCCTATTGCTACCTCATATCATCTTTTTGTTCAATCACCTTAAACGACTGCTCTGGTTCGACTTCTTTCTCCTTCCCTACCTCGTTGGTCACGTTAAAGATTGTTGGATCATCATTTTTTGCTAGGAGCTCTGGTTCTTCATAAACTAGCTCGCCCCCTGGGTTCGCTGTCTCACTTTGCTCTTCTTTTTGCATTGGGGATTCCATGTTAGTCGGCAACGCTTCTTGTGTAATGTTTCTCCACTCATCGGTCAACTGCCCCAGACGGATCTGCAGGTTGCATATTGCTACATCATTTCTTGCCATAAATTCCATCATCATCTCTTCAAGATTGCAACTTTGCGACGTTTGCACTTGTTCTGGCATCCATTGTTGATCGATACTGCATCGGGAACTCTTATGGGAATGTTTGCTCATATTGCTGGGTAGGTTGAGAATAATTTTCATTATATTGTCTTTCCCAGGAGAAATTTGAATGACCTCCCCAACCTTGGTTGAAGGTGTTCGAATGATGAGGGCCTGAGTTCCACTGGTTTTGTTGTTGACCTACAAAATAATTAGAATTAGGATAGGATGGACAATAATCAAATGGATGGTTGCATCCACAATATATACAAGAACATTGATTTTCAATAACTATGGAGAAATTACTTCACATTGCTTGGTTATGCTACATTTGAAACATCGATGGAACTAGAGGATTCCAATGTGAAAAGGAATCCATCTCAAGTACTTTTTGTATGAAAGAATAAAAGTATCTTCCTACTTTTTTTTTTTTCAAATTTTCAGTTTCGAAGTTTCTGTTCTCTTCTCAACCTACGAAAGATTCTTTTAGTTTCAGGATCGAAGGACAACATAAATGAATATGTGCTCATATATTGAACAATAACCTTCGAGATTGGATATAAATAAAATTTGTTTGAGAACAGAAACGACAATTACAAAAACCGATCGTAAAAATTAATAAAGACTAAAACAAATAGTCCCTGGCAACAGCGCCAAAAACTTGTTTGGAATTTTGGAATGAAAATAAATGATAGAGCGCAAGTGTACACCCGTCACAAGCAGTAAAACGGAATGAGTATTCCGAGTATCGATCCACACGGACAATTGAAGTCTTTTTAATGAAAATGATGTTGATCGGTGACTTTGTAATTGATTTTGGGGTAACAAATAATAAGGATAATGTTGGTTTTGGTATTTTAAGACTCAATGCAATAAACCAAGCTCAATTACTTCAAATTAGCTTAAAATACAACAATTTTTTTCAACTAGGCGCATGATATTTCTCATCGGTTTTGCTTCGCCATCTTCTTATGTCTAAGTGATTTTGAAGGTATAAGTTCATCCCTAATATGTCTATTAGAAAATTGAACTTAATTTAATAAAAAATAACCGTAACCTTAGGTCGAGGTCCTATGTGTAGGCTACCAAAGTAAAATCTTTATGTCTAAAGTATTTCTCTCCAAATTTAAATCATTAAAGTTGTGAAAATGTATCAATGCTTGGTTAAAACACTAAATTGGCCAAATCAAGTTTTAATTTTGTAAAACAACCTTAAATGATAAAAGAAGAGAAAAACGCCTCTTGCCTTATTGGATTTTTAAAAACTTTAGCTAATTATCCATAACCGGGCTTGGGGAAATAAATTTAGCTCATGACTTTATAGGAAAAACATAATTGAACGCTGATGGAAGTAGGTGGCATGATAAAAATATGGTTATAATTAAAACAAGCTGAAAATGGGTGAGTTGTAACCCGAATGACCCTAACCCGTTCTCTTTCAAGATTGGGGAGCAATACTCGGTCAATTCCACAAGATTGTGTGATTACAACTTCGTAATGAGAGAGAGAGAGAGCGATGAATATCAAAGAACTTGCTGGAGTTTTAATTGAATAATATGAAACTTACAACTCAAGAATAACAAGCTGGAAGATAAATGATGAACCTGAAATAAACAAAGTTTAAAACAACAACAACTAAAAACTATGATCACTTGAGGCACGTGGAGGGGCTTGGGGAAGCTTCAAAACACACAAAAACTTGTGTTTTACATTAAAGCCATTCTCGGAATTGGACAAGGCATCTAGCTTGGATTTTTTCTGCACAAATTTGTAATTTCCGCTAGAAATCAACTCTAAAGTATGTAAAAATGTCATCTATGTATGTATAACCTAAGATAATCCCAAATGAAAGGTTTTGGACACTAAACCAAGCTTAAAATACGGTTTCTGAGTGTAAAACAGTAGAAAAAAGCACCTAACTGGTTCATTTTTACC